GGGGCTGTCGCAGTTTGTTCTCGCTGCGCCAAGGGTCGGCGCTACCGGACCAACCCAGCAGCACCCCAGCTGCTCTGCTGCAGGCGTCTCCGATTCAGCCGCTGCTGAAACTGACCAGCAGCGGCTGAATCGGGGACTCCTGGGGCAGAGCCAGACTATCAGAAGGGAGGGCTATGAGGGGGTCTGGGGTAGCATCCCTCCACCCCACCCCAGACCCCTCATAGCCCCCCCCCTTCTGATAGTCCAGCACCCCCTGGGTCCTAAAGGTGCCAGATTATTGGAAGTTTACTGTAAATCATAATAGAAGTTGCATAGGCTTCAGAAGTACCCATGTTAGTCTGTTTCAGCAAAAATAACAAGGAGTCCAGTGGCACCCAGGCAGCATAGACACGATAGAAAATAAAATGCCCAGTGGAAAAAAAGCCTAATTGATGGTATTTTTTAAATGTAATTTGAAGTAGATTGATTTACAGTTCACATGAGAAAATAAATAAACACGAATGCCTACTGCACGTAATTGGTTATAAACTTCTTATCCTGTGAATATTTATCCCTTTATACAGTGCACTTACATCTTTAAACTAAGCCTCAGAACCTCCTATTAACCCCATTTTACAGATGGGCAAACTAGCACAGGTGAATCAAGTGGCAGCCCCAGGCAATGGAAGGTAGTCAAAGGCAAGGTTATGCTTGTTATCAGCCTAAACCAAGCCAGAGGACACTGCTCTTGAGTTCCTAAAGCCCAAGTTTAGATCTCACTTGTAGTATCCGTGCAAATCCCTAGTGTAGCAGAATGTACAGCAAACATTGAAAGCCCCAGACTCTGCAATTGCAAAAGAATGCTGCCATCTATAGGCCTAAACCAGTAGTGCACATAGATTTGGAAATGCTGTAGAAGCAATGTATTCAGGTGCAAACAGCTCTTTATCTCTGTAGATTATTGCGTTAGTATCCTTCCTATCTATTGCTGACCTTTGATCCTTATCTGCTTCTTTTTAAATATCCAATCTTCAGGTGCTTACAGATTGCCAGTTCTGCCTACTTGTTTTTCCCTTTATTATTTTCATACCCTCTGCTCCTTGTTTCACACCCCCCTCCTTTTTTTCCTACCCCCTTCTCCCCTTATTTATTTTGGATCTACCCATTCTAAACTCAAAACTCTGGTCATCTGAAGAAGTGGGCTGTGCCCACGAAAGCTCATGATACCATCTCTATGTTTTATTAGTCTATAAAGTGCTACCAGACCATTTGTTGTTTTTTAAGTTTATGCTATATATCTAGTAAGGCACTAAATACAGCTTACTAGCTGGTATTTTTAAAGGGAATTTAGCACTGGCAAAAGGTGGTGGCGAACAGCTCTGAAGGTTGGAATCCTCTGCTGATCCAGAGAGCAGGCAGCAGAAGCCAAAGCTTTCCCCATACTGTTTCACTCCTGCTTCAAACCTGACCCAGAGAAACTATTTGTAGGGGTCAGAGGGCAATTCAGTCCCTCTGATCCACTCATTGTTTGCACTTTTTGCTGAGGTAGCCCCGTTGTTGGGGTTTGTGATGTGAACATCTGCCCACAGGAGTGAAACCATCAAACCACCTTCTGTAGGCTACTGAAGACCATCCAATGACAACACTTTTCTGTGACTACTCTGCCAGACCGGGCTAGAGAGCCGGATGCATGGAAGAGGCCCCATTACCAACACCCTAGCAGCATGCAACGTACCAGTCCCTTTGCCTCCATTTGACCAGGTAAAATTCCCACAGAAAATAGGGTAGTTAAGCCACATTTATTTCCATTTGGCACTAATATTCACAGACTGACAGTACACATTGTTCTCGTTCTGGCCACAGTAGGTGGAAAAGAATTGAAGAAATGAGTTTAGCAGCAGCAGTTTTGTGTTAACCCTTTGAATTCTAAAGGTCTTGGGGAAATTTCATCCCCACTGACCAAAGAAGGGAATCTGAAGTGGATTAGTTACCCTGCACTAAATGCCTGTGAGAATGCTGCTATTCAGAATTAAAGTGGCCAGAATTCAAATTAGTACAATTCACTTTGGAAATTAATTAAGCTAACCCAAATTAAGGCCACTTTATTTCTGAATTAGGGCATTCACATTGCATTAGTTAATGCAGTTTAACTAATCCACTTCAAAATTCATACCTTTAGTTATTTCAGATTAACTTTCCTGGATACATGTAGACAAGCTCTTCAACTATAGCTTGCATTCAGGAGTTAAGTTAACTAGGGTTACCAGCTGGGTTTAAAAAATAATAATACTGGACACACATGATCTCAGAACAGGATGGCGGGAGGGGAGACCGGCTGGGAGGGGAGTGGGGCTGGCCGGGAGGAGGTGTGTAGGGGGGAACTGGCTGGCAGGAAGCAGGGCTGGCCGGGAGGGGGACAGGGGAAGCAGGGCTGGGGAGAACTGGCTGGCAGGGAGCAGGACCGACCCGGGGGGCTGGAGAACCCCA